ACACACACACACACACACACACACACACACACACACACACACACACACAAAAACAGATTTGCACTCCACACAAAGCAGACACAGTTATATATCAACACTGTTACAACTTTCACAACCCCAGTCCCACCTACCTCGTTTATCTCTCTGTCTTCCTAAGGTAATCCCATCTGTCGTTGGTCTCCCCCCCGTGATTTGTGACGCCTCTTAAAAACATCCTCTAGAGTCTTTCAGAGTTTTYTGTTCTGGCAGAACCAACACAATAAGACCCACTACTTTTACACAATCACCTCCTCTGGGTAGTTGAGAGCTTAACTTCAACCGGAAACAAAAACCCTGAAAAAAACTGAACAATAGAGCATCTGTTGGCAACAGGCAGAGGTGGGCAGAGCAGCCAAATGTTGTATTCAAGTAAGAGTTGTGTTTCTTCAACATATTCTTACTCAAATATAAGTTAAAATTAGCCATTCAAGAAATTACTCAAGTCAGAGTAAACAACTACTTTGTAAAAAGAGTACATGATCAAAACATCTGATTTAAAGGACCAGTCTTATGTGTTTCTCAGGCATATAGTTCAATTCTATACCATAATAAAGTAACTATGTCACCTTCAGTTGTTATCAAAATGCTGTTTATATGTATAAGTCCAGAAATAAATTTAACTTTGCTCACAGCCATTTTTTTTACACGTCTTGAAATTGTCCTCTGTCTCTTTAAGAACCTCCTACCCCTTCCATCACGCCCACTTCTGCACATCATCACAACAGCTTCGTGCCGCTTACAACCTGGAGCGTTGTAGCCTATTTTGTTGTAAAGGTAATGAAAAAGCAGCAACATTATACCATATCGATTTAAAAAAATGTCTACTCAGGATACAAATGAACCTTACCACTGAACCAGAAAGTATGTTAGAGAGACGACGTTTCAGCTGGTAAGATATCTATCTCTCAGTCACCATCACAGACACACACGTCAACGTTAGGCTAATTTATTTATTACTAAAATGTGTGGTAAGCCAGCTAAAGAACACAGATCATAATATAAACAACCAAACAAAACAACTTGAGTTGTTTTTCAGCTAAAGGCTGCGTCACACTGAAARATTTTAAAACAGTCGGCTGATTTTCAAAGACTGAGAGAGCCCACACATAAGGATAAAAAAAATCATGGATATATCAGGTTTGGTCCTACGGTGTGTGGTGTACAGCCACATTAAGAGACAACACACCACACACAAAAAGATATTTCGTTCATAAACATTCAGATGTCAGATGTGAAATCACATGAGACTTCTTGAAATCTCACGAGATTTCAGATGTCAGAGGAAAAATCTCCTGTGACCTCCAGGAGACGTGGGTTCAGAGTAAATAAACATTTGCGACGAGGAAGAACCTAAAARGAGGTTCTAGGTCCAACCAGATGTTTTTGTTCTCCTGCCTGGCTGCCACAGGACACATTATTTCATTTATAACATGCAAGAATGAGTCAAAGCAAGACTCTGGGCGTGTTTTTGATGAGGAGATAACATTATAACATGATATAAAGCTCAAAATAAAGTTGATTACATGATATTGCCCCTTTAATACTTTTAAATGATGTCAGACTAACAAAAATAGAAAGTTATGTGCAAATTCTGACATTTTGAAGACTAAAATGAAGAAAATGAATACAAATAAATAATTACAAAATAACAAATTCCAGCAGAAGAAACAGAATTCCAAGTTAAATTTTCCTCATTATAAAACTTGTTAAATGTTTATGGACAGTATGTATCTCACTTCAACATAAACTAGGTTTGTGTCTTCTGGTTTRTTCTTCATTCAGTGATGTTAATGTGTGTATTCAGTTTTCAGAAATTTTACTGAAATAAGAGCAACAATACTTCATAATGATATCACTCAAGTAAAATAAAAAGTAAACTACTCCAAAAGTACTTTTTTTTTCTAAAAGTTTAAGTAAATGTAACCTGTTACTATCCACCTCTGGCAACAAGATTGTCTGCTGGAAATGCATTTCTCCACTGCAGCTTGTTTGTGTTTTTGCCTTTAAGAAGATCATTTAATCAGCGTCGGACTTAAACTGCAGCAGGTAAAGTGTGKAACCAGCATCACCTGAAATATCACCAAAAACTGYAGCTYTCATGCAAAACATGAGCACTGAGTWGTGTTTGGTTACCAAATTTTAACTCAGTATTCGTAAAACTGACCAAGTAAAAGTAATTTTTCTGAATTATCTGAGAGAACACACATATGACATACGGAGTGTAAATAACACCATTTATCAAATGTTGTATTTTTGTTGCTGAAGTTGAGTTTGAAACTGAATCTGCTGGATTTCAGAAAAATTTGGTTTCTATAAGCACACCTGGAAAAGTTAAAAAGGGTGTATTCTTCAAAAGTACCCTGTATAAAAAGAACGAACATGTACAGATGTGTCTCTATGAGTCACGATGTGTCTTGTACTGTATTTGGAAGTTATTGTATGAATCTTTTTAATTGAGCTGGTATAGAGGTTCCTGTTGTTTGCCTGTGAGTCACTCCACAAAGGGTTTCCCAGCTGTCGGTTGACTATCATCCACTAAGTTGCTTCTGTTTGTGAAAAAAAAAAAGTTGAAATTGACTCCCAGGCTGTCACTTGAAAGAACATCGCCTCAGAGAAAGAGGATTAAAGCTACTCTCTGAGATGCTTTCTCTGCACGCATAGAAAACAGGAACTGATGCCACCTAACCAGGCTGCATTTTATAAACAAAAAAAGTAACAAAAGGAGATGATAACTTTAACCCATAAGTGTCACTGTGGGTCTTTGGGTTTTGTTGTGAAGTAGAAAAGGATCCAGGTTCTAAAGGGTTAATTCCACTTTGATTGGTTTTAAGCCAAGTCCTGAAACACTTTCAGTAAAAGGAGCCAAGAGGGGAAATTCACCTGGTGGCTTGTGGCTAACTTGTTAGTGTGACTGGCAACGATTCAAAATAATGGAAAATTTATAAGAAACTAAAGTGAATTTTCAKTTGTGAGACCAAACAACCAGCCAGTTATAGAATGACCCTTTTTGAAACTTGTGTTTCCAATTGAACAACACCCAAGATGTCACTGAGAGTTAGTGGATTTCATTAAAACCTCACAGCAGAAATAACCTCCACACTGATGAGAAACTGATTTAGAAACAATTACGCTGAAAACTGCAGAACTGTGTTAACTAAAAACAAGTTTGTAGCAACAGGTTGATTTAATCCTCCCTATGATGGCTGTAAATAAAAAAAATCAACTTTGAGATGTGTTTTATAGCAGTTTGTTTTATGTATTTCAAGGTAGTCACAAGTGGCCATAAGAAGCCAAACTACCAACCTGTTGGAGACATGCTTAAATGAACATTTCTGCAGATTTTTTAAAGTTTTGTTTTTATATTAATACAAATGTTTAAAGAGTAAGAATAAAAGTTGTTTCATACATTTCCTGAAATACTTTTTTCCACTGCAAACATTTATCTTCTATTAAATTTGATTTCATCTTAAGAAAGGTTTGTGTGATTTACTCTAATAATTAAACTCATGTTATTACTCAAAGCAAATAATAAGGGCTTATAAAAGCTGAACTTCTTATTTATTCTCCCAGCTGGTCTGACAGAATCTATTGCTGTTTTTTTTTGTTTGTTTGTTTTTTGTTTTTTTGCCATTTATGTTTAATTAAGTCCTTTTAATATGAACTCGAGTGCATCAAATCCATGCTTTCAGTTTCTTCCATGAAAAGTCGTTTCAGTGCGTTTATTAAGCGCGTGCAGGACGCGTGAGACTCACCCAACACGAAGCACAGGAGCGTCTGTTTCTGCAGAACTGAACCGGCGTGCGGCTCCATCCCTGCGCTCCAGAAATGCGCGAACTTTGGAGAAAGGATCCCAGCAGAGCTCAGCGAGGAGCGGCTAACATCGTGGAGTGACCGCTGGGCGGGAGCGCCATGAAACGCCAACCCAAGCCTCCACCTTGACTGCGCAAAGGAAAGAAAAAAACTGGCTGGGGGGAGATCCGAGCCTCGCTCTTGCTGCTCCCGCTGCACCACAACTGTCCTCCTTCCTGTCACCGATCCGATGGCATCCCGACACGAAACCACAGCCAGCTGTGAAGTTGGAGCTTTTTCCAGTCCGGATCGGGATCCCGGAAGGCGCAGCGTGTGGGGGAACTGCGCTGGGTTTTGGAAGTGTGCCGTGCGCAACGGGACGCGCCAGTCAGGGACCCCTGGAGCCGAGCTGAGTGTGGTGGGGACTCTAGGCTGGACCCAGCAGGGCGCAGGGGAGGGAGGGGGAGAGGCACATTGGAGTGCTATAATAAAATATTATTATTATCGCTGAAAGTTATTGGAAGTGATTTTTTTTCTTGAATCTGTTAGCAAAATATCTCATGAACCACCAGACGGAGTTAAATGAAACTTACAGAAATCAACCACTGGATGTACATCTACAGCTAATTTACTTTTGGAGTCAGTCTTAATTAAACTGTCCAGAACAGCTATCAGACATTTAAAAGCACAGAAATGATCATAACTCTGTCACTTTGATACATATTGACCTAAACCTTGGTGTGGTAGTAGCTGAGACTGATCTTCAACACTCACAATCAAAATCTAACAGATTGTGTTAGATCTTTGCTTAAAACCTGTAACTGGTGTTTCTGTGGAGTCTCTGAGTGACAGCTGTCACTCCTCTTCTCTGTATAATTATGGCCTTTAAAGTTAACAAACGCCCTTATAACCCTTCTGATGCATGGCCAACTGGTGCTGCATACATGTTTTGTGATACATGTTAACATTAATGCAAATGTACATTATATTTAGTATTTTTGCTATCATTTCACTCCATTGTGTGCATTGAATTGCACAGACATTAAAGTTATTCTATTCTATTCACTTAAGTGCTCACGTTTTCTAATCATCAGTTAATCAATGCATTTGATTCCAGCCCTTTGCTGCCTTTTTTTTTTTTTTTTTGTGGAAATAATGCAAATGAATTTGATTTTTGTCACATTGCCCTGCAGTTCAATTCCACAAATGAAAATATGCTGTAATGTGGAGTTTATGTTTTGCCAATATGTGGAAACAAATTAATTTGAAGGTGTGTATTTGATTCCTGAAGCCAGTATTTGTACATTGGTTTTGTTGTCAGAAGTACACAGTTGTCAAACACTGCCCTCTAGTGTTCATGTGGAGCATCGCCGGTCTCCGACTTTATTACAAATCTTTTGTTGTTTATTATGCAGCATTACTGTTTACTATAATTTTGTTTACATATTTTAAATTCATGATTATTAAGCTATTATTAATATTATTCTCATTATTATTAAAAAATTGGCCTCCTTAATACATAATATGAATCCTGAGTGGTTTTCTGCCACCAGTCTGTTGGGTGGTATCATGGGGAAAAAATCAGTCACACAAATTAAATTAAATGCTGTTCTTGAATATTTTGGAGTAAATGTAAAAACTTGGTCTCTTTGTAAAGTTAATACTCCAGTTTTTAACTTCAGCACGTATTGGAACTAGTTATTGAAGTTAAAACACACATTTTTTTATCTGCTTTAAAAAATATTTTTGTTGCTGCATATGGAGGGATGAAATTGTACACTTCAAAATGAAATGATGCCATAAGCATCAAGTCTTACCTATATTGTTCAAATGTGAGAATAACAGCACCAAAATCTACTCTTACCTAATGAAGCTGGTACAAAAAACACATTAAAAATAACAAAATCTGCCTTTGACAGCAGTTTGCTTTGAGCTCAGTGTCAACAAGCACTTTTATTTCWATCATAAAGTCTAAAGAAGAATCATCCAAAAGGTTATTTCGAACAGCTCACTCCCACCTGAATGCTTTTGTGTGGCTTGAAGAAACTTACAAATTCAACAGTGAATGAAAACTGTTCCAGCCAGATCATCTTCTGACAAACTAATCCCAGCTGGGCGATTGTTCCTGTCCGTCATGAAGATAAGTTATTTATTCTTTAAATATTCTGCAACTTATAAGACTGAGTTTGATGTGATGCAAACTGTCACAAATCCTTGGATATGAAACATGAACACGGCCCAGAAAGGAGCTTCTTGAAATGCTCCAAGTTCCAGTTCCACCAAGATAAAAACAGTTCTTACTTGTTATCTGTTAAAATAAATGTGTTCAAAGCCAGTGATTAATGTAAACGATGCTTTAAACCAGGGGTGGGCAATCCTGGTCCTCGAGGGCCGCAGCCCTGCATGTTTTATTTTTTTCCTTCTCTAACACACCTGATTCAGA